CAAGGTGAGAAAATTGCTCCTTATATTTTTAAATTAGCAGATACCAAATCTTTGCAAGCATATTTAAAGAAAGAAAGAATTACTTATGAAATTTACCAGGAAAAAAGAAAAACAATAAATGTTAGAAAAAAAGCAAAATGAAAGTGTGCTATTGTCCAACAAAAAGCAAAAATCCTTAAAAGGAAAATAATCTTATTACAATATTGATTTTTGAATACATAAATCATAACAATTATAAAACCTAAAATCATCAATAGATTTATCATTGTAATTTTCTTTATTATTTGAAATATTGCTTTATATTCATCAGCAACTTTGGCAAAATCTTCATTTTTTAAGCCAGAGACAATAGTTTTAACATGGTTACATTTGTAATCAGGAAGAATTTAAATCTTATTTTTATCAGTAACTGCTTTTTTATAATCATTGGATTTTCATCAATAAGATATCAAAAACCAGAACATTTTCTCTAACTTGCATCTAAAGGAAAATAACTACCATTTTCTTTGTGAATTTCAATTTATAAGAGGGAAATATTTCCTCGATTAATTATTTGATAATTAATAAATTTATGATAATAACAATTGATAGTAAAGTTGAATCTTTATCAAGTCATTTTTAGCATAATGGACACTCATTTTGTGCAACAGTCATTTGTATAGTATGTAGGTGGTTACACAGAGCCTGTTGCTTCTGAAACTTTACTAGAATATAGCTGCAGCCTCTCTAAGTCCAGATCATCAGCAAGATCAAAATTATCTCACACTTTTATAATCAAACTTTTGCAAGAACTACTTTCACCATAACATATGTTATGTTGATCATTTTTTGTGATCTGCAACAGTGTCCACTATGCTGTCATTTTTATGAGTTTTTGAAAGTTTCAAATTGCCTTCTGAACAATTAAATAATAAAACAGATAATTAAAACCATAGATGCTACCCAAATTACTTTGTACATCCCAAATGTTGATCACTCTTTATGAGTAAGCATATAGTGTAACAAAAGGGTTGCTGATCATTTTCACAAATCCTAGGCATTTATTGGTTGTCATGGGTGTACAAAGTAGTTTGTGTTTGGGATTTTTTCAACAGGCTGGCTCAAATTCACTTTGTACATTTGGATGCCATAATCTTAAATGGTCTGTTTGGGTAGCATATATAATTAAAACACTGATTTAGTAAACAAAGACCTTAAGAAGACATCAAAGATTCAATTTGAGAAATTTTTTTATTTACAAATATCCTACTAATTGAAAAATAGAAAAATATTGTAGAAAAACATTCAGTCAAACTCACCCACAAAATCAACATTATCCAGAAAAACAATTATGGGATAATGTATGGTTCAAGTTGAGACAACCAGTATGTATATAATGTATATGATAAGGATCCTGTTTACAATTTCTGATGATGATTGCAATCAATTTATTTCTTTGTGGATTGTGATTTGGAACAACACTAATAAATAATAATACTATAATATATTTAATAGTTAAATCAAGGCTTTGGAAATGGTCAGAGTTATGGGAGGTAATTCAGTATATAGAATTAAAAATGAATTGTAATAAATTTGAAGACTTAGAAACATTCAGCAATTCATGAAATAATTCATGTAATTTATTTCTAATGACATTTAATTTTTTAATGTAAAAACTCTGAAACTACAAAAGCAAGTATTAACAATTTTGAAGAAATTGGACCTGAAGATGATCAAACATATTTGGAAAGTATAACAAGGGAGGCATTTAGGAGAGATAGAGGATCATCTAAAGGATCAAATAAAATATCTACTTGGGTTGTGATCAATTCATTCTTAGGATCACAAAATACAAATTTACATTTGGATGAAAAAATTATTAAAGCTCTTATGGATATTATTGTTGTTAAATGTATTTTGTTATATAATAATACATATGTATTTTTTTACCATTAAATAGAATCGAAATAATGTTTAATTTTTTAAATAGTAGTATAAAGAATAATTAATATAAAATAAATTCTAAAATTTAAACCACTTCAACGCCTGTATATTTCCGATGATCAAATCTTCCATATCAAATTGTTTTCCAATTGTCCAGGAGAGGCTTTCCCTCCCATCTTTAACAGTCATGTTGGCTTTCTTTACCCTTGACACTTTCTTATAATTATTAATAATGGTTACGAAAAGTAAATACACGGATAATTCATTATCATGATAGAGAGCCTTATAATCAATACCTAGAAGACATGCAAATCTTGCTTCGCGTCTTGATTCAATCAGATATTCATAAATAAAAAAAGAACATCTGGTCATTCATAAATGACTCTTCCCCTTCAATATCGACCATACAGAATAACAACAGTTCTAGTATGTTAATAAATGATACTCCTTCAGTATCAACCATACTAATAACAACACTTTTAGTATGTTTATCAATGAATACCTGGCTCTCTCTTTTGCCTTGGACTCTTTGCCTAAAAATAAATTGTTTCCCGTGTCCCGAAAAATAAAAAATATTAATATATATTAATATAGGCACTTCTTTGTACAACATTATGTGCCTCAAAATTGAGTTTTAATGTTAATATTCGCGAGAATTGTTACTCATATAACAGTAAAAAATAAACAATTTGTTTATGCTCAATTAATTTTTATTTTTTTTTCTTTAAAAAAAATCCACGTCAAGAAAAAAGAACCAAGGGAAAACGAGATGAAAGGAGCGAGTAAGTGTTCTAGCTATTATTCTAATTATTATTAAAGGAATGGTGGTGGCGATTATTGCTCATTCTATTTTTTTTGTCATCATAAGTAATGTTGATAACGTTGGGAGGCTTGAAGAAAAAATTCAAGTGGTAGTCAGATGCAGGTGAGTTTTACAAAAGATAAAACATCAACATCAATTCGACTAAACATTATTGATTATTGTTAATTAATACTTTGAAAAAAATTTTTTCAAATTAAAAAGCAATGTTTAGAAATAGAGGAAAAAATCAAATCACCAATTGTTATAAAGACTATGCTTTGTGAAGTACAAATACATTTAAAAACTGAGGATGCATCATGTAAACTTACACATTTGATAGTGTTTTGGAAGAAGCAGATCAACAAAATATATTCAACTCGTGGTCACCCCAATATTGGATGAGATGTTGAACAGATTTAATCATGCCTTATTTGCATATGGCCAAACATCAACTGGTAAAACATATAAAACATATACAATGGAGGAAAACTTGGATGTTATAGTTAACAATGATGGTATTAGCAATGACCGTGGCAGCAGTGGTGGTGGCAATATGATTGATTATTGGTCCAAATGCTGGTGTCATCCCACGTTCCCTTCAACATATTTGAAGCCTTGGAATCAGAATCTGCTGATTATTCAATGAAGGTCCCATATATTGAATTGTATAATGAAAAATTGAAAGATCTATTGTCTAATAATGGTGAGCAAGAATTGAAAATTATAGGTGATGCTAACAATAAAGCCATTTTACACAGGTGTGAAGTGGTTTCTTTAAACAATGTCGCTGAAGGTGTCAGAGTTTTGAAACAAGGATCCATCAAAAGACAAACTGCTTCGACTAATTATAATGATAAATCAAATAATTTTATATCAATTAGTAACTACATAAAGCACTAATACATTCATTAATTGAACATATATATGTGTGTGTATATGATATTATTAATAATAGTTGTTCATACTCAATATTAACAATAATAGTTCATATTAAAGAATCAACACCTGATAGTAAAATTTTGTTGAAAGTTGATAAAGTTAATTTGGTTGATTTATCAAGAACATAATATATTGATCGTACAGGTGCTGATTCAAAAGAGGCTGGGAAAATTAACAGAAGCTTGTTGACACTTGGTCGATGCATTGATAGCCTTAATGAACATTTTCCACACATTCCTTATTATGTAAAACTAAATGTTGTCAAGTACAACTAATTAATAATCATTATTCTTGTCATCAAGAGAAAGTAATCTGATAAGATTATTACAGGACTTACTTGGAGGTAGAATAAAACTTGCATTATTGCAACTATATCTCCAGTAAAATCAAAAATTGAGGGAACAATATCAATATTAGAATATGCAGCCTGAGCTATAAATAAACCAGTTTCTGATCAGTTTGTAAATAAAAGGCCTGATTTAGCAATAATAGTAAGAATAGATTTCTTATCTTGCATGAAAAATAAATTTTATATACATACTGTATATATATATAAAATAAATTTATATATCAATATTATTGATAGGCTGAACTCAAATGTAAGAACGGGGAATTAATTATTGAAAACATGCAACTTTGTAAGGAACTAGATATTTATATTCTCTCTTCATTTTATTGTTTCCTTTTCATAATGTAATGAAGAGGTGGGTGTAATTTGAAAATGGCAATGAAGAAATAATTATTGTCATTAAAATAATCATGATTTTATAATTATAGGTCAAAAGAGTTGTTAAATGATGTTGTCGATGTTAATATCAAAGAGATATATATTATCAGTATTTCAAGTTTTCTATTTAATTTCTAGCATTATTAATATTATTGATTTCTTTCTTTAATTTTTAAAGATAATTATTAATTTCTATTAAAAGATAAAGATATATATATTGTTATTATTAATTTTTATCAAAAGATAAAGATATATATTATTGGCATTATTATTATTAATTTCTTTTTTATTTGTATTAAAAAAAAAATTTCAATTTAGTATACAGGTTTTCTTTTGTTTGAGCATTGAAGAAAATCTCTAATAAAACTATTTACAATATTACATAAATAAATAAATAATCATAATCATAATAATTATAACTATTATCACTATTAAAATAATAATAACAGTAAAGGAATCATTCTTTAAAAAAAATAGTTACATAAAAAAAGAATAATAATTAAAAATTTACAAATACTCTTCAATATTATTGTAAATGTATTAAAATCTTGGTCGATTATCATATTTATAACGATTTCCTGGATAAGCTGAATTTAATGGTGGTTTTGGCGATGAATGAGTTAAATGTGATGAATTTGGTGAATGAATTAAACGTGATGAATAAGATGATTGATGTGGTTGATTCGAAGGTTGATGTGATTGATATACTTTATTTGAAGAATGGTGTGTTTGGTGTGATAAATATTTTGAATTTTTTGGGCTTGTTGCAACATTGCTATAGTTAGATTTAGTTTGTGAGTTTCCAAAGTCTAACGGTGATGAATAAAGATCAATGACAGCTACAAAATTAATCGACTAATTAAATTTTATGATTTATCATAATAAATAACAACATTTTTACTCAGCTAACGACCCATACCTCTAACACATACAGGACCACCACCATATATGTATTCAAAATAGCTCCAAACCCTTTCATTAACTCCTCTATAATCAATACCTATTTTCATCCCAGGTCTTGGTGTTCCATCTTTTTTCAAAAATGTTGTATTATCAATATGACCTGGTGGAGGTGCTATAGTTAAATTAAGTATTAATATTATCATTCATCAATATATTTATCATCAATAATAATATGTGAATATTCACCTCCAGCTTTAAAATTATGCCATTTTTGAAGCCATACTGAACTAATTAGAAACCAATACTCTCTTTTTTGTAATGAATTTGTGTCTAATTGTTGAATATCACGAGCTTCCTTTTGACGTCTTTTATCCATTAATCTTTCTTGTTGCTTTTATTTTTTACCAAAACAATTATTATAATAATAATAATAATAATAATAATAATAACACCAGCCATATTAACAATAGTAATAAATTTACCTGGCATATAGAACATCCTGCCGATTCAACATCAGATATAAGCAATGGTGGACTACCATCAGTTCCATATTTGTCGACCAGCATTGAATAAACATTGATTGGTATTTTTACTACCATATCATGTAATTTAGGATATAATTTCATATTGATACCTTCAATATGAAAAGGTATCATAAGTATAATTATATATGTTAATTGTGAATGTATTGCATAAGAAAATACACACCTCCATGTGAACACATGAAATCATAATTTGAAATTGGACCAGGCTAATTATAATATTATTATTATTTAAATTCAAAAATGAAAGTAATACATTATAATTAATAATTAATCAACTTACTGTCATCATAAATTGCCATCTATTAAACCATAATCTTGAAACCCAACAGTGTGTTCCATTTTCAGAACTTTCAGACTAAAAAAAATAATTTAATTACGATCAAACTTCTACCCTGAAGGGGTGATTATTTTTTTCCTTAATCAAAAACCCATGTTTAATTAAATTCAAATACATACATTATTCCTTATTAGATTCTGGATTAATACTCTCTCTTGATCTTTTTCAGGATTTTTTTTACTATAGAACAATATATAAGCTTCAATCTTCATTATCTCGTCAGCAGATTTTTTAGTGACAAACTGAAACAATAGCAGTAATTACAATAATTTTAATCTCCTATCAACATATTTAAAATTAAAAGCATTTAGTAAGGAAAATAACTGACCATATCATCAAATTCATACCAATTTCCATCAATGGGATTTTTGGCATAAGCAATATAGTGACCACCTAAACAAACCAAATAACAAAATTAGTGACAAATTCCTGGAATCTAATATGTTAAGGAAGGAGGAAATATATATATTGAATATATTACCAGCTAAGCCACCACGATGATGAATTAATGCATATAAATCATATTTAGTAACTTTTAATGATTCTCGTTTTTCACCAATACCTGGACTATCACAATTTTCCTTTGATACTGATTCCTTACAATATGGTCTCATGTCCAAATTTTCCATTGGAAATTGGACATGTGTTGCAATTTTTGATGAAACATATGGGTCAAAGTGAAATCTTTTCAGTTGAATACAAAGAATCTATTTTGGTAGTATAAATATGTAAATATATATATATACATGTTATCCACAAATGTATGTGTATACATATATGTTTTTTAGAAAAAAACCTCAGGTAATCGAGTAATCCTAAGTGTTTTCTGACAATTGTTCAATGATTTACACTGTTCACATTGATATTTATCTTTGCCTGCAAGATTTTCAGTTGCACAAAATTCTGCTAGACAATCATGAAGGCTTGCAGTATGACCACCAATTCTAGTAACGAACATTAAAAATATTAATTATTGGTTATGTAATTTTTATATTGTTAGATACATGTAATGTATAATATCTTACCCAAGAGCATTTTTTAATGTACCAACAAATAATCCCATAGATAAAGCACTATCAATATTTCTTGATTTATATTTTTTATTTATTTGAATTGATAAATCATAAAATCGATCTTCCTTGAAATAATCCTAACGTTTTTATATTTATTTGCATATTATGTCCCAAGATAAAATAAAATTGTAATATTCATGTTGATAATAATAAAAATTAACAAACCTTTTTACATTTTAAACATTTAATTTTGCTCTCTAGCAACCCTTGAAAAATATTACTTATAATACTTGTAGAAAGTGAGTGATTATCAACAATATCAGAAGGTGATGACTCGTACACGGCATCATGAAAATGGTTATTATTATTATTATGACTGTTGTTACTTCTAGCATAACTTGATGACTTTTCTATATGGTTGCTGTTGTTGTTTGTATTTTCATTTATTTGATCATTTGATATAGTATTTTGTGGGTAAGGAAGTTCTTCATGAAGTATATCCAGTACACAACGAAGAAATTCTTGAGAGTCCTTTATAATACAAATACCATGAATAACATGGTAAATAAATAAATATTGTTATTACTTTTACCATAATAATATTAATAATCAATAAACCTGTTGTCCATAACCTCGAAAAGCTTCATTGTAATTTTTTATCTCATCAATTAAATCATTTGGAGAATATAATGTGCTACAAAAAAAATTATTGTCATTTACTATCATATATATATATATATATTGTATATAATTAAAAAAAACCAAAAAGAAAAGAGGATATAATTTTCAATCTCTAACTAATTTTGCTCCAATTCTCAAATTTGATCCCACTTGAAATAGTCTATGCTATTCATCTATAAAATATATATACTAAGTTCATTATTAACTAACCTGTTACCATTCCACATTGATCTAAAAAACCTGTGAAACCTTTCAGCTAATTTATATTCATGTAATCTTGTATTAGTGTGAAATTTTGGTATATAGGATTCACAATAACTAAAATAATTTGTTAATGATGGCCTACAAAAAAAAAACCAAAAAAAAACATACAATTAACTATACATATACATAGTTTTCAATATGAAATGGATTATTAATAAATATTATATATAATAATGATGATTAACATTACGTATTAGATAAACATTGAAGAGCAGCACTACATATAAAATTGTTTATATTAATATTAATTGGTAAATTTACTTTTTAAATTTAAATATAACCTAATATTAAATCTTCACCTTGCATAGCAGGTATTTCCCAAATTCTTTAATCCAACAAGACCTTTAATAAAATTTACACATATATATTATTATTATTCATTCAACTATTAATTTATTTGGTTAGAAATTCCATTATAATACAAATTTACCAGGAACATCAATTGTTAGATTATTAAAACTTTGATGTGATTTATGTTTTTTAACTTGCTATAATTTGTTTTAAATAAATATTATTAATAAATTTTCCAAAGAATATAAATCATCAAAAATCAGCAAAAAAAACTCAATGTGATATATAATTACCAGACATCTAACAATGGTTTTTAAGAATTTTTGCATTTCCAATGATAAGAAATTCTTTTCAAAGGGATTCAATTCTACATTACAAGCTTGACACCATATTGTTAAACTACGTGGATTTACAAATATACAATGACAGTGATTTTTTTTCTCTCCCTAATTTATCATTATTATAAGTTATTCATATTATTCATTATCAGATCAACCAATAAACATCTAATTTACACTTTTTCTAACCTTATGATATCCTTCAACATGAGCATGCAAATGTCCTGTAGGGGAGTTTCTCTTACAAACTATTACACGACAATTACTCTTTAGAAAAAGATTGTTATATTTATTACATGAACATACGGATGTAGGTATAATAATTAAATATTTTTTTAAAAAAAAAAAGAAATAATTCACGTTTAAACAAATCCATATTCTTGGAGTTTTTATATCACAAGAGTCGCAATGTAAAGTACCATTAATTATTTGTTTCTAAATATATAGTTTTTTAAAGTATATATTTATTTATGTGCGTTACAGTTTATATGATTTAGATGAAAATGTAAAGAAGTCAAAAAAAAAGCAACCTTGAAAGAAGAAGAACCAATTTTAGCTAAGGGAGATCCTTGTTTAACTATTAAATCAACGTGTGGACAATAAAACATTTGTAATAGATTCTATAATATATATATATTATATATATGCTTGTAATTGAATGAATAATAAATGATAATGTATTATTTACTTTTTGGAAAAATAATAAATCAGTGTTGAAATCCCTTTCTTTTCGTGGAACATTAATAATTGCCTCGGTTACACAATAAAAAGGTTAAAATTAAATATATCAAATGAACAAATCTACTTGTCTAAAATTGGTCAAGTGCTGAATATCTTTCTATTGTTGTACCTGTCACTATTTTTGTTGACGATTGGTTTGTAATAGTAATTACTGTATCGTGCCAGAAAGTCCTTCTGATGAATCTCCACTAAAATTCTAATTTAATTAATTAATTTTTAATTTCATTGATTACAATAATAATTTCATATTTTACAACTTCATTACTTTCTAACTTAACCAGATTTCGCCGGCATATTTTGCCTAAAAAACTAAACTAATTGATTTTAATGACAAAATAACTTTCGCAGCAAAGAACTTATTGAAAAAGAAGTTTCCGATTATTTGCTATAAAATCAAGCTTCAGGGAACCCTTATTCCAATTTTCGATACTCATCAAAATAATCTCTAAAACCGAAAAATTATCCAACCTTTTGCTTTCCAATCAGAGAAATTCTTTTTATTACTACCGGCTTTTGATGCCTTCACTTTTAATTAATTAAACATTGCATTAAGTGGGATTAAATGGAATGGTCTCTGAAGTTTATCATGTTTTGTAAAAACCGATTGATTCACTAAGAATCACGTGACAACGTTAATTAGGGGTGATACTGTAATAGTAAACAATCATGAAGAGTAGAATTCATCCCACAGAACATGAAATAAAGACGATATCTCCTGAAAAACAAAATGAAAGATAATCAGATTCGTCGAGTCGAAAAAAATTATGAACAAATAATAAAATAATTCTTCATATACAAAATCAAAAAAAGATGCCTTCTTTTTGGTACTGCCAGGGAAAAACGTGACTGGCATGACTTAAGCGAAGAAATTAAGTATATCAAGGGCCAAGCAAACCATAAAACGGATTCAGATCTTAATATTTGTAAACTTGGACTTTATAGTAAGTTTATTAAGTAATTTTAATATGTCGTATTTCTTTTGCAAAAGAATGTTTTTATATTATAATCCATTCCATTTAACAATTTGTAAATATTTTTATTAAAATTCTTGGTATTTTATTTATATTATTAATAATTAAAAGCAATCTAATTAGTAATTAATGTCAATACACTTAGATGGGAAAAATATTAATATTAAATTAAAAGAATGATATAAAAAAAAATTATACATTAAAAACTAAAAAAAAAAAAGGTAATAAATTCTATAATATATATATAATGTATAGTATGTATACATAATAAAACTTGTTTAATTATTAAATAAACAAAAAGAAAAAGAGTAAATCATAAATATTACCCATCAGCCAAGTCAATTAAAGCTTTCCCAGCTTTTTATTTCTTGCTCTTAGTTTCTTTTTTAATTTTCTGTGTTTGTGCTTGTTCATCTTTAATCTTTTCTTTTGTACTATATTTGTCATGTGATAAGTAATATTATTATTAGCATTCTTATTATAGATGAATTTATGTGGCATATGACGATATTTTGAATTATTAATTAAATTCAATTTTTTTGTTATTAATTTTGAAGTTTTTTTGGAGTTTTTTTTTAATTGATTTTTATTATCGTTAGCACTGTTATTCTCGACAATATTTTCAAAATCATCAGAAAATTGTTGTTTTCTAATTCTTGATTCAATATCATTTAGAAATTTGTTTGCCATTTGTTGAGATTCTTCTGGTGTCAATGATATCAAATTTTGTAAAATATAAATTGGTGAAGGTGACGTTAAATATGTAGAGATGCTACTATTACTACTGATATTATTATTATTAGACGAGGGTGATGATGATGATGATGATGACGATGATGATGATGATGATGAATTGTAATTTGATGAAAAATCACCTTCAAAATCTATCGATTTATATTATATAAAGTATTAATTTTATCAACTAAAATATAATTTTTTTATTTACAATTATTTTATTTTTAATTTACCTTCTTCTTCCTCCTCGTATATTTTTTGTTGTTGTTTTTCCAATGATTGATTATTCAACATTTCACTACCAATTGTTAATAAAGGTCGATGTAAAGCATAAAATGTACTTTGAGCTAAATCTCTAGGATGAATATAATTAACTTGTACAAACGATAGCTCTTGTTTCTGGGTTGAATTGGGTGTATTAGTTCGTTTTGTATTTGAGGAGGAGGAAGAGGAGGAGGAAGAGGATGAAGAAGAGGAGTAATACTTTATAGCATTTATTGATTGAATTTTTGAACTGCAAAATATTTCATCTGCAGTAGATTGATGAACAAATGTTTTTTTAAGGTTATTCAATAATAACCTTTGACGGAACACTGTTAATAAAGTCATTTTTATTGAAGTGGCCTTCAAGAAACAAAATGTTTATATTAAAGAATGAAATTTATTATTTTTATTTTTATTTTTTATTATTTTAAAATTGTCGCCCCCGACCGATCGGTCCATAAACAAAATTGATTGTCTCAAATCTAGGTCATTGATTGGCTGGGAAATGGGGCATTTTATTTTTTGTTGTCACACGATTCCAATTATAGTAATTGTAATAGTAAGTTCATTCAAAAAGGATATTATTTATTTACAATAAGCGAATAAAAATACAAAACAAATAAATCCTTGAAAGGACAAACGAAAATATAGATATTATTTATAATCATTGTTTAGAAAATATTGATTGCGTTATATTACTACTTTTATATTTTTTAATTGGTAGAGTTTTCCGGTATTACTATCATAAAATGGGGCTACTGCAACCAGACAAAATGAACATTGATTATTAAGGATTCCAGGGATCAAACTTTAGTCATTTATAATGTGATCATAATTAACAGTTTTATAATATGGGGCATGCTGCAACAAAGTGAACATTGGTATTACTAAGGACTTCAGGATCAAAATTTAGTCATTTATAATGTGATTATATAATTAACAGTTTTATAATATCTTATTTGTTATCTTAATTGCCCCTATATAAAAATAGTCAATATGAAACTAATTTACATTAGGTCTACCATGGAATCCAAGAATTACAGTACTATTAGAAGTATTTTGAAGAAAGAACAAGGTGAAAAAATTGCACCTTATGTTTTCAAAATAAATGATACTCAAACACCGGAAGCTTATCTAAGGAAAGAAAGAATTACCTATGAAATGATAAATACTGGTCGCGATTTTTGATGGTGGTTGCAACCATAGTTGCAACATATAAAAATGGTTCGTGAAACCGGGTTGTGTCCACCTTTGCGACCACTTTGCCTTCCTTTTTTGGATTGCGACATAGAACACTATATGAAATTTACCAAGAAAGAAAAATAATAAATGTTAGAAAAAGAAAGCAACACGATGATGCATTATTACCTAATAAAAAACAAAAATCTTTAAAAAGGAAAATAATTACCATTTTTTTTTGATAATTGGAATGAATTTAAATTACTTTTTTTATTTTTAATCAAGATCATCTTTTAGTCTCTTTGACTTCAAGGTGACATTCAACTTTTTCTTCTTCCTTCTCAAATTTGTTTTCAAATGATCAGCCAATAATTCCTTCTCTTCCAATTCTTTTTCTAGCTCTTTGATCTTCTCCTTGGAACCTACACTCTTTTCCATAATAAAATCATATTTTTAATTTGCTTCTTCAACTTCTTTTTTAATTCTCTAATTTCTTTTTGGTGGGTTTCTTTCAATTTCTTTATTTTCATCTTTTTCTTCTGACTTCTTTCTAATTCTTTTTGTTCTTTTAACTTCTTTTCAATGCTAAGATATAGGGCTTCTTCTGTTCTATCTAGCTTAGAAGTGCTTTCTTTTAAGCCTTTTTCAACTTGATGTAATTGTTCAATTTGATTAATAAATTTTTCTTCTTAATCTTCTAATCTTTCTAAATTATTTAACTCTTCATTTATTACCATAATACATTATTTTAGTACACGTGCATAAAAATTTTATATTGGTTTTGGACAAGTAATATCTTTGTATTCATCTTTCACAATGGGCAAATAGCATAGTGGGAGTTTGTTGTTACACGAATTGTCATACAGAATTCATTGTTCCTGAAACTTCACCAGTATATAGTTGTTTCCTCTCTAAATTGGAGATCAAGTTCAGATCAAGTTCAGATCCAGTTTAGGGCCACGTCACCCCTGGAATTCGGTTGCATCATTGTATCATCGGGGCACACTAGTCAGATTAGCCTTGTGCACATGAGGAACGTGTGAGAATGACTGTAAAGTGCTCAAGGTAACGTGTGTGCTTCAATGTCTGACAATCTCCGATAATCAAACATTTTGTTTCATACTCGACTTGTTTCTTTTTCAACGGTGTGCTGTCTTGACATCTTGTAATTATATATTTATATTAATATTAATATTGATTACGAAAAGCAAAATACCAATCGTTTACCATCTTGAAGAGACTCTTATAATTACCCTGCGAGTTCTGTTCCACGTTTTGATTTCAATTAAAATATTTATAAAATAAAAGGCATATATCAATATAAATTAAAAAATAGTTACCTCTAGTTAGTTATTAACACATATCTTCTTTATGAGAACCACATTTTGTCATCTTTGGACTTTGTCAAAAATAATTGTTTTTCAAAAAAAAATCTTTGTAGAACACCAAGTGCCAATAATAATTTATTCTTTTTTTTAACGCGTTTATCTTTTTAAAAATAAAAATTTATAATTATGACAACAAAAAAAGAAGCAAAGTATTTGTTCCAAAAATCGCTGGATAAATGTTTATCATGTGAATGGTAGTGGTTATCGTCGTCATTCTAGTTATTAAATAAGAATGATTAAAATTTTTACTTTATGTTTTATTTATTAGTGAAAATCAAGAAAATCGAGATGTATGTAAATTATAAAGTTAGCTTGTAATAAACTACCTTCAAGTCATCATTCTGGGCTTATTCAAAGAGTCTGCAAATCTTGTAGACAAGATAATTATTAATAAATTTTATTTTTTTACTTATAAAATGAATCTTTAACTTTTTTATGATACAAGGATCCAACAAGTTTCCACTATTACCGAAATTTTGACAAAGAAACAGCAACAAGTATATGACCTCGTTGTTAGAGGTAAAGAAACGTTTCTTCACGGGGCAGCAGGGGAAAAATTTATTAATTATTAAAAATAATAGATACTCTAAAAAATATGTTCTGGAAAGTACGGTTTCTGTGACTGCAACCACAGGAATTTCAGCTGTTGATTGGCCAATTTATTACTCTCATCATCATTACCATCACCACTTCCGTTAGTTTTTTCTGAAAACACGTCAATCATTAATAACAAATTCAATAGTCAAATTATCTAATCCTTCTTATTCTATACTATTTATTTATAATTTATTTTTTTGAAATAAGGGAAAACAAATACATATAAATTCATATTTAAGTGCATATATTTTTAAATTTAATAATTTAATAGCAGTGAAATAATATTTAAATTAAGTCAATACTTTTCTTCTGAAAATTCAAAAGATACAAATTATGGTTCTTTTCTAAAATATTGAATGACACACATATATGTATACATTATTTAGTATAAATTTTTTTTATGTGAATGAAAACCTGTATAAAAAAAAATAAAAAGGAAAAATATCCGACAACTCTTTTTTTCCAAAAGTTAAAATTTTTTAAAGGAAAATCCGGATTTTTAAAATGCTATTTCCAGCACTGGCGGTGAATATACTAAAGATATAACAAATAAAAACAATTGGAATTGGAATTATGCATATTTATTGTCGGTGTTAGGAAAACAGATGGAAATTTTTATAAGTCACGTTCATTATATGTTGGATTTTGCGCGATAATATGAGGAAATTTATTTAATATCCAAAATTATGGCAGACACGGTCAAACAAAATAAAATAAAACTTATGCATTAGAAAAGCAATGAAATATCACGCATTTTAGAACATTCATCATTAAATCTGAATGAACCTCTCTCTTCTACAAAAAAGTAGCCTTATGGCTTCATATCTATGTAGTTCTCGTGGAGGAGATCTAAAAAGACTTGAAGATTCTTGGGTATCACTTCCCGAGGAAAAGAATCATTGATGACATGGATAATAATGGACGGATTTGTCAAATACCAGCTGACGCTGACAGTGAATTTTGGCTTGTACATAATACATTGTAGAAACAGAATACCAGTTCATTGTGGATGTCAAATAAGATTAACATTCAAAAAGGAAGACTGTTTCAAATACAAACCTAGAAAAAAATTTACTTATAAATTCCTAAAAAAAAACAAATGCTTAGCAATGTATCGTTTTTAATCCATTCAGGATCATCATTATCGCCAAAAACTTTGAATTATGTAATGAAGAGGATGATATTAACAGGTAAAATTGGGATTTTTTATAAAGCTTGGATAATTTGGGATAATTTTATAGTCTACTTTATTAGAAATTTATAAAAATAATAAAACCCTTTAAAGAAGCTAATAGAAATGCTCATTCTAAGTTAGGAGCTAAATATCTTATTGAAAAGGCCATTTAAAATCTCTTCTAAACAAAAGGTTCTAAAGATGTAATAAAAGTCGACGTTCATATAACAATAAAAAAATTAGATGAATAGATTATTGATATGTATATTTAATTGAAATCATGTGCTGAGTCGAAAAATAACAAAATCGTTTATAAATAATAATAAGCCAGTATTTATTAGAGGTTAAATTTTTCTTTTGAAATTGTGGTAGTTATATGTATAAATTTTCTTTCATAATTTTCAATTAAAATATTTACAAAACAACAAAATATCGAGTTCATCAGAATAATTTTCAAATACACTTCTTTTACATTAAGCAGGATATTACTCTAATTTAGTATATAATAAATTTATTTAAACTTACTTGAGAATAGGTTTGAAAGTTTTTCACAGATATTAATCAATTTCTCATGTAATAGGATTGTTAGAAAAAGGAACATCTGAGTCTGATGGCAAGGATGGATCAAATTCGAACTTATAGTTGTTGTATCCAGTGTAAAACCTCTTATTACCATCGTTGTTGTTATTGTTATTTATACAATCCGAGTCTGATGAACCTTTCTCTCCTTTGAATAATGCATAATTATCTGTATTATTATTACCATCGTTGTTGTTATTGTTATTTATACAATCCGAGTCTGATGGATCGATTTCGAGTGGATATTTCATTCCTCTGAAATAATTTATGGTATTTTCATCTAATTGATGATTATTTGTAGTGTTGTTATCTGTATTATCATTATCATTGATGTTGTCATTGTTATTTAAATATGTATAGCAAAATAATAAAATGATAAAAAAAAAAAAAAAAAAGGAAATAATTACTAATTTTGCATTTTCTCCCCCTTTTTTTTGGAGTCCAATCTCTATTGCAAGTCCGATTTTTAAGCTTGCATGCTTTGCATCTTTCATCATCATCGGTTTCCTCGCATTTGTTTTTGTTTTTCCTGCACTCTATGCATCCCTTTAGCAAGTATGGGCCTTTATGCGACATTATTTATACGAGAATAAGAAAGATATAATTTTTTTTAAAAAAAAAGAAAATGTTGTTGTGAAAAAAACTTTCGCTGATATTTATATATAATTTTTTTTTTAAAAAAAGAAAATGTTGTGAAAAAAACTTTCGCTGATGTTTATATATTTTTTTTAATCGTCTCACAAATCTTATTTTTATATTTTTTCATTTAGATGATTGCGGCTAATAAATAAATAAAATAAATTCTTTTGAACTTTCTTTATAACGAACATATTAGTCGTGCGACATTGGGACGCTAGATATAATAGATATAATAGTAATAGTATGTATATATCTGACTTGACGATTTCCACAAAACACGTGATAATAAAATTTTAAATTTTAGATAATAATAATAGTAATAGTATGAATTTAGACAATAAAAATAACAATAACAATGTTGGTAGTAGTAGTAGTAGTAGTAGTAACAGCGGTAACAGTTACAAGTACTCAATGACGACATCGACGGGCACAATGTCTAATCCA